ATTCAGTTTCATTGAAATAATTGTTCTATGCTATACTTGTTCATGCACATTGTTGACTGGTATGGGGGTAGGCTATCATCTTTTGATAGATTGAGGCTGTAATTTGAGATCAATAAAATTTTTACTTCTACTGTACTAGATTAGGTGGCTGTGTTCTTCCTTTTTTATATAACAAAAAGAAAAGAAATTGGTGGCTCAATTATTTGTAACGGCAGCATGCTTTAACTGTAATTTCAAGAATCCTTGAAAAGTACAAGTATATTAAGGGCTCATATTCTTTTCCGCAATCATCTTAAGAATTATTGTGCCTTGGTGATTGCTGGTTACACTTTTACTCTTTTCAATTCTTTTAGTAACTGAAATTATTCTTGAGGCTACTGGTGGTAACTTGCATTTTTCTTTACAGTGGCTTATCTGGAGAAGATGAGTCTTCTTCATCCAAATAGTTCTTAAATATACTTCCTAGAACTCAACTTTCTCTTTCTGATTGATTGATTGGGTACTGCGAAATTAGTCCATCTGGAAGATGTTGATTTTTTTGTTATTGCAACTCCAGGAAGTACAAGCTGCCTGCGTCTTGCATTATACCTTTCCCCAAGCGGAATGATCCTTCCAGTACTCAAGAATTCCCTGCTGGAAGACATGTTTTGGCTGTTTATCCAGGAACAACGGCACTTTATAAGGCAACTGTCATTAGTACCCCTCGAAAGGTGACTGTTCCAGTCATCCACCGTCATCAGTGCACAGCATATAATTTTGGATCATTTTTACTGTTCTGTAGATTTGCTAAACTATTATTGTTATTTGCTGACATGTTGAACTGACTGGTAATTTTCTTGTGCATGTCTGTGGGGGGCTGTCAACCATTCTGTATCTTTCCAGAGGAAATCAGACGAGTAAGTGTCATCCTTCATTCTGGTTCTGGTATAGCAGATTTTGGGAAAAAAATGGAAACAAAACAATTGTGCTGATGATTTGATGTTTTACTGTCTTTTACTTGTTCGTATAGAATTTAATTGCAGAGAATCTCATGATAACTCAATTCTCACGACAATATACAAAATAGTAAACATATCAGATAAATAGGTCATGTGTAACTTACGCGACATAATTTCCTGCAAACAAACAACGAAAAATAACAGAGCATAAACTTCTTCTTTTGGACGTGCTGCTGTGTATTGTTATTTTCATGGTTATGTGTCATATACTGATATGCGTGAGCTCTTTTTGCTTCTTTAGGTATTTACTGGAATTCGATGATGATGAGGAAGACGGAGCCTTGCCTCAAAGGACGGTACCGTTTCACAAGGTGGTTCCCTTGCCAGAAGGACATCGCCAATGAGATTTGTGTATAAATGTGTATAATTTAGAGCTGGTTTTAAGACATGTGGATCTGAACCCTAATTTCTACGAGCCCTGTGTATTCTCTTAGTAATGGAACATTGACACGCTGATAACCCATTTTGTTATTTCCAAGTTCTATGGTGCTTCTTTGTTACTAGTAAACGATGGCCATTCTTTTCTCTTCCCCCCATCAAAGTAGTGCAGCTTCACCCAGTCCCATGCTTGGAGTTTACTGCTTAAAGAAACATATGAATTAAAGCAAGCACCAGCTTAATGCCACCAGCATCATAAGAAGAGAAACAGCAGCTTCAACCCAAGGCATAAAATCTCCAATCTCATAACCCAAGACATATGAGATCTTTGAGTGAAGAGAAAGTGGTGAAAATTTTTCTTACTAGATGATGGTTTGTAAGTAGATATTGTTGTCTACTTATTCGTTCTAGCTTTCTCTGACCATCTGACGGACGCTTTTCTACATAAGAGCAGTTTTGCAGCATCTGTAAACCTTAATTAGGCTTCAACTTTAAAACAGAAAAAAGAAAACAAGAACAAGCTAACATGGCTTTGTTAGGGATCTGAAGAGCCAATCGTCATCACATAGTTGCAAGGATAATGCTGTCAGCTTTTCAAGGAGAAGTTTGTACAGGACGTTTCCAGAAAAACTTGGTAAAGTCATATGATTAATGAAGTGCTGCTTTGCAATTGATGACATTCCAGATATGCTCAATATACCATTTTAGACCCAATACTATTAAAACTTCTCCAGGTTTCGAGATCAATTGCCTTTAGCTGATCCAGAAAACATTAAACCTGTTGCTCTAGTCACTTATTAACTCGTGTTTTGGAATCGATTTTTCACTATTGCAAATCAACACAGATTTATGTGATCACACAGAGCTACTGCTTATGGCATGCTTGAGTGATTGGAATTGGTGGGTCTGCTAATGAACCATTGAGTGTATGATCAGCAACAAATTGATTTGCAGCCTGAGAGTAGTGAACTCCATCCCAGCTTATAAACACTGAAGGGTTTTTGCAAGAATTACCATATACTTCAGTGTTATTGATGGTTGCCTTGTTCCCACACCACACATGGTCGTAATTGACATGATATCCACAGCACACCTTTAACGGATCTGCCAATCCTGTAAACAGAAGCATAAACAGATAAGTATGTGCATCAGCACAATCCAACCAAGACTCACCATCTTCGTAGTGGTCATTGCAACAACCATTGGATCAAGATAGCCTCAGTTTGCATTTTGTATATTTCAACTCAGGGAAGTTGCCTTGCATTGCATTTATAATATACATAGCAATGGAGACAAAGGCACCCATCATTGCGCCTGCTGGCTGCTGAAAATCTGAAAGTGAATTTTGACAACACTGTAAATGAGATTAGGTAATGATGATGATTACCTAGGTTCTTTGCATTGCTAATCATTGAATACTTAGCAGTATAGACATCCAAATGAGTAATTGAAGCTTCTGGGAGCTCTGTTCTTAGCTTGATGATTCTGTCCTTAAGCTGCCTATTGAATTCCATTGCCATGTCATTTTGACCCTTGACACAACCATATTGGTCAAGATATCCGGGCTCAGGATTATGTACGTAGAATGAGTTAACTGGCAAGCAACCGAATGGACCCGTGTTGTGTATCCAGAAGGTTCTCCCTCCTTGCTGATATAGATGCTGATGTTTCATATAACATACTGATCAGTTACAATATGATTCTACGACATAAGCATATCAGACTGAAAAATTGTTAATCCTTGTCAAAGGTTCTAACAGACTGCCCCATATTTGATGAGGCAAGCATTACAAAAGAAAGTCATGTATTAGACTCCCAACATGCTAAACATAGGCAATATTAAACTATATGAATGCCACTTACTTGGACCGCTGATGCTAACTGGTTTATGATATCTGGCATAGCTGTACGAAGCTGATCAAAACTCATTTTCCTAAAACCAACAGAAAGATCATTTTGGCCGATGTCAAATGTGTAAAGCGCCTTCGCAAAGTCCTCAGGTCTGGGAAGTTTATCTTTTTCAGAAGGATCCTTAGCTAAGAATGGCAAAAAAATGGTAAACAGTGTCAATGAACGGTGTTAACTTCATGTGGACATTCTGTTCTGTCTATTAGGCAACTTTTAATCTAACCTTGATTGTACATTTCAATAGTTCTTGCTTTAAACTGGTCGAACTGCACAATCTGCATATCTAGAGCAAATGGACTTATGCCGTACTCGAAAATGGTCTCATTCTGCCTCCTTATAGTTGATCCTCCTGTAGCAAAATTTGCCCCATGCCTGAAATTTGCTCCTAAGGAATTCAAGTATGCATGAAGATATGGCAATTTTACACGCTCAGCTGCAAAAAGAGTAGAAACCAAACTTGCAATCAGTCCTTCCTCTTTGACAAGAGTAAGAGATGGACATAAGTTTCCTAGTTTAACCTAGTGTGATCAAGATATTGACAGCTTGAAATGTTCCTTACCTATGAAGTCTATGATGAGGCGGCCATCACAGTCTCTACCAGCTGGCTTGTTAAAAAACGCCTCACCATACGGAGCTCGAATTGGTTCAAAAGCAGCTGATATGCCTCCAGTGTCTGAATTTGAGTCACCAAAGTTGTAAATTGCAGGGAATTCGCATGGTGGTAAATTAGCACCACCCACACTCAAAACCCAGGAAAAGAAAACCCCAGCTATTAACACTCTCCGGAACTCCATTTGCTCCCCAGTTGACCTGATTATAGGAACTTGCCAGCTATATATCATTATATGAAACCTAAGTACCTATAAAAGACCCACACCATCGACCATATTAAATGCCATCCAGCCAATATGTCCAATGCTGCATGCTAGATATTTTTTTTTCCTTTCTAGCACCTATGTCAAGCCTGACTAGTATTATGTCAAAAGATTGCAGAAGGTTTTCTTTGTCCAGAGTGCTGTACACCGTTTGATGGAGAATGATTGGTGGTGATGAAGTGTCTTAACCGAGAAGCGACTGTATCTTGTTTGATCATAAGTGCATGCTACATGTAAAGCTCCTTGTCGGTGTCAGGCAAAGGGGACAAAAATGTAAAGCAGCTACACTTTTCTAGGCTTCGGGTCTTGAGATAGATTCGGTTGTGCGCAATCAGTGGGATACATCATACATGTGCATATGCTACATTAACCCCACATTTCATTTTCATAGCAATAGCGAGATAAGCTACAAATCAGTAACCAAATCCCAAAATCATACATGTATTACTTCTATAAAAGATCTTCTAGTAAATTCTAAAAGTAGATATTCTTAAAGATCCTTTTAATTTACTCCATTGTTGGACTTTCAATAGCTTCTTCATCAAACAAATTTTTTACTTTGACAGGTAGTTGGAAAGTATGGTTTTGTAGGAGATTTGAACTCCCAAATTTTCATTTTAGCTAGGAGATAATACTTTTGCTATGAATTTAGGCACAAAGGCACATTGGCCACAAAAAACGAATCATAATGATTATGAGACCTTGCTATTGAATTGTTTCATAGCTGTTAGTCAACTTGACATGGAACTTTTTTTTTCTCTTTTAATTTTTCCTGAGTGATTAAATTAGTGCCAGCAAAGAAAGTGGAGGAAAACTTGCCATTAAGTTTATTTTTGTTGAGAAAAAATTTATATAACCACAGTTATTCCACAATATCATAGTACTATCATCACTTTGTCTCTTTTGCTAGTACCATGATCATGATGCATAGAGATGTGGTTAGCAGATCATGGTTTCATGAAGTTCTGTAACAAGCATGGGTGATAGGAACAGGGGGATCTGACAGTGAACCATTGATTAAACGACTCGCAATCCAACGATTGGCTGCCTCAGTGTAGTGCACACCATCCCAGCTGATATATAAGGAAGGGTCTTTGCATGCAGCTCCAAATATTTGAGTACCATTTGGTAGGGGTAATACTCCTCCACATCCCACGTCAATGCCATTCTTATGATACCCACAACAAATCTTTTGTGCATCAACAAATCCTACAAAAGGAAAGAAGAAACCAGATTATGATAGAATGTTAGGAATAGGTTTATGGTAGCTCAGTTTTTGTTGTTACTAGTTATTACCTTGCTGTTTTGAATTGCTGATAAGTCCATATTTTGCAGCATAGATATCCACATATGTTATTGCAGCTTGTGGGAGATCTGCCCTGAGCTTGATCACTCTATTCTTGAGCTCCCTGTTGAACTCTTTTGCGATGTCATTTTGGCTTTTGACACAGCCATGCTTGTCAAGAAAGCCTGGAGGAGGATTCTTGATGCCGAGCAAGGTTGATGGCAAGCAACCAATAGGACCTGTGTTGTGTATCCAAAATGTCCTTGTCCCTTGTGTATACAGATGCTGTTAAAGTCGTAATTGAATCCACGTTGGTCATCTAGAAACACATTGAAGAAGGATTGCTACCTTTCTGATCCCAGTTAACCTTAAAATAGAGAATGCAATTTACCTCGACTGCTATTGCCAGTTGGCTTATTATGTTTGGAATTGATGCTAGAATTTGTGCATCACCAACCGTCCGGAGGCCATAAGCAATGTCATTTTGCCCAATATCAAATACATAAAGAGCCTCTGGGAAGTCCTCAGGTCTTGGAAGATGGCTTCTACAAGAATATCTTTTATCTGCAAACTAAAGACAGTTCTTAGTTTCCTTAGTCTAGGAGGATTTAATTTGGAAGAGAAGTACTGGTTTTTCAAGAGTTTTGATGGTAACCTTTGTAGAGATCAGTAGTGCGTGCCTTGAATTGGTCATACTGAAAAACCTGAACATTAAGAGCAAATGGACTTAGTCCACTTTCAGCTATGGTTTTGTTTTGTGGAACAATGGTTGATCCTCCTGAAGCAAAATTGGCACCCTGCCGGAAGTCTGATCCTATTGCATCCAGGTATGCACTCAAGAATGGCAATCCAAGGCGCTCAGCTGCATACAGAAAAGTAGTGCTTATGAACTTTGAAAGACCATAATCTCGAATCCATGTTAGATAAAGAGGGAGAGCATGCTTTCATGTTTTGTTTACCAATGAAATCTATCATCAGGCGCCCATCACAAACTCTTCCAGCCGGCTTATGGAAGAAAGTTTCACCATTTGGCCATTGCCTTGGGAAAATCGCTGCTGATATAGCCCCGGTATCTGAATTGGAATCACCAAAGTTGTAAATTGCTTTGAAATTGCAAGGTGGTAAGTCCTTCACCTGGGCAGCTGCTCCCACACTCTGAAGCAATGAAACCAAGATCCCAGATAAAATGACTCTTGCAAACTCCATTGCAGCAACAATGCTACTCACAAATTGGAACATCCACTTACCTTACTCTATAAGCACCCAGAGGGCCCTGGCTTTCCATATCAGAAGAAGAAGCACATGCTTATGGGAATCAATGAACTCAGATGCTTTGACTTTCTTAATTCTATGATCTATCTTTATCTTTTTAAGCAATTTTGACGCCATTACACTCTGTATATAAGTCATCTCCACCCAATATTTTATCCCACAAGTTGCAAAAGACCAATCTGTTGTATGCTTCATAGAGATACTATTACTTTGCTGATTTGAGTGGTTTAGCTTTTGAAATTATTTGCTGCTGGACATGGGAAGAATTTGGTTTTTGTGCATCTCATTTTGTACTGTATGGTCGATACTTTGTGTCTATATATGCGATGTTTTGATATCAATATTTGGAAAGTATGATCTATTTTTAACAAATTTTGTATTGTTTTTTGATATTTAATATATCTATTTGGTTCAATAAAAAAATAATTATTTCCACATTCTTGATAAGCAATTGTTTCACTGTCAAGTTAATTAAATTATTGAAGGTGCTTACGTAAAGAAACAGTGAGCTATATATTAGGCAATGGCGAACACCTTAGATACAGATCAATTATTGGCTATCTAAAAGCCAAAAGACTTTAAAATTCCTATATTGCATAGACCACATGCATCTTATGGGAACAAAAAAAGATTATAATAAATTTGTTTTGACATGCTATGGCCATGTAAGTTGTCAGTCTGTGAGACCTAGTTGCCAAGTGGGAACAGGGTCAAACAAATATATAATGATCTCCAGAACTGCAGTAAGTTAGCTTTGAAGGAAAGAGGAACCAAAACTTATCAAAGCTGACTTCCCTTTTGCATCAAACATTGAAGCTTAATCAACAATCTGATGAATGTGAAGCAGTATGCGTACTACATATGCTTACAAATCTTGCAAGACATTGACTTCCTTTAGAACTGTAGATATGAAGAATACTTTTCCCTATATTTTATCATAATTACTACCCTTTGTTCACTTCAGAATGTGATAGTTAGCTTGACCCACTCTTTATTATGTGCCATGGGGATAGGATTAAGCACCAAAATTTAAAATCTTTTCACATTGCTATGGTAATGGCATTCCCTCTAATTAAATTCCCAAGAATGTTGCTTGCATTTCTGGTACCAGACGGACCCTTAAGATCATCAAAAGAAAAGTTCGAGTACAAAAGGAATACTTGTCCTACAGCTAATGAGAATTGAAAAATAAACCTTTGTTCTTCTCTTATGTTTTCCTTCTATAGATTATTGCCATCAGCAGGGTTGCATTGAAATGGAGAAGTTGCTATGTGAAAATCAGTGACCTCTCAAGTCAATTTCCATGCATGATCAGTGCATCTGTCAGAGTTATTACTCTAGACTAGGCTTATGGCATGCATGTGTGATTGGCAGAGGCGGATCACTGAATGAACCATTGATTATGTGATTAGCAATCCAATGATTGGCAGCCTCGGTGTAGTGGACACCATCCCAGCTGATATACTTGGAAGGATCTTCACAAGAACCGGCGTAGATTTCAGTACCATTTAGTTGCATTTTGTTGCCGCAATATACATGAATGTCATCTTCATGGAATCCACAGCAAATCTCTGCTGCATCAACAAATCCTACCAAGCAAAAGAAAAGAAACACATAAGCCATTGCTTTTGTTTATCGTCACTTAACAACATAACCTGGATGATATTCTTCATATAATTACCTTGCTGTTTTGCCTTGCCAATCAGTTCATATTTTGCAGCATACATGTCCACATATGTTAATGCAGCATCTGGTAGCTCAGTCCTAAGTTTGATCACTCTATCCTTAAGCTGCCGATTAAACTCTACAGCAAAGTCATTTTGAGATTTGAGACAGCCCTGCTTGTCAAGTTCATCAGGCTTAAGATGGTAGTGTAGAGTCACAGGCAAGCAACCGATTGGGCCTGTATTATGTATCCAAAATATCCTTGCCCCTTGATCATAGAGATTCTGTTGATTAGGGACAATGATTTTGGTTAGAGTTCTAATTTGTTTTTAATCCAGAATACCTGTATAGAATCAATTCAAACTTACCTGGACTGCTTCAGCTAGCTGCTCAACTATGTCTGGCATTGATGCCTGAAATTCTGAGTCATTCTTCAACCTGAAACCAGCAGCCATGTCATTTTGACCAATGTCAATGACATAAAGAGCCTGGGAGAAGTCCTGAGTTCTAGGGAGATGTTTTCTGTAGTAATTTTTCTTGGCTGCAAACCATAAACAAAAAAGATATAATTTCCTGAGTCTACCAGAATAAACCTTTTGAGAAGGTAACTGATGCTAGGTGATTTTTCCAGGATAACCTTGGTTGTAGAGATAGCTGGTTCGAGCCTTGAACTGATTATATTGTATAAACTGGATGTTAAGTGAGAACGGGCTTACTCCATTTAAAGACATGGATTCATTTTGTGGCCTGATGGTTGATCCGCCAACGGCGAAATTAGCACCATGCCGATAACTTGTTCCAATGGAATCCAGGTATGGACTCAAATGAGGCAATCCAAGATGCTCAGCTGCATACAGCAAACCCCGAAATATAAGTCATATGAACAAAGTAAAGGCCATAACTTTTTGCTTGTTGTAGAATGCAGAGAGAGTAGATGAACAATGGTTTGTTACCAATGAAATCTATTATCAGACGCCCGTCACTGCCCCTTCCAGCCGGCCTACCGAAGAAAGTCTCTCCAGAAGGAGGCCCTGCAGGGTAGAATGCAGCTGAACCACCACCAGTATCCGAATTAGAGTCACCAAAGTTATAAACTGATCTAAAATTGCAGGGTGGGAAGTCCTTCCCTTCCACAGTTTGCACACTCAGAACACTCAGAATCAAAGCCACCACACTAACTTTAACCATCTCCATTGCACCACCAATAAGCCTGGCAATGGCTTAGTATTCAGAATGTAGACAAAAAGGCAAATCTCATAAACAATCAAGTCAATGGCTTATTGTAAAAGTCATTTGCTGCTATTGTTTTTGAAATCACATGGTACAAGGAAACAGCATTGTCACATGATGTTATTGCCTAACTCATGCCAGATAAGATAATCCTTGGAAATACTTAGTAGACCTATTATAATATTCAAACTCTTGATTGCTTTAGCAAGAGATAAGTGTTAGGTGAGATTTTTTTTGGTGGGTAGATGCTTCAATTCCTCAATTAAATAAAACACAAACAAACTTATAACCTCCCCTTTTGGACATGAATCTCATTAAATCTCTATGAAGGAATTTAAAATTAATGTCATGATAACTACCCAAAGCAAATATTGACTAAATCTTCAACACCACATTATTTTTTATTTATGCAGTTCTTGTGTTACATCATTTGTTAATTTAATGATTATCCATTTGTAATTATTATTTGAAATATTGATATAATTCTCAAAGAAGTCTTTAAATTATTTCAAAAAAATTCAAAAAAGTCTTTATTTTTTTTTTATGTTCAATCAAGTCTTTATATTTTTATTTTAGATCAAATAAGCTCTTATAATTAATGATTGACTAATTACGAATATCACTTGTTATTTTACATCTACATGGCACGATGTGGATGGTAAAAAATGACACATGATCATATTATCGTGTTAAATTAGCATATTAAGTCATTATCAATTATAATATGTTAATATACCACATCATCATCAATTATAATATTTTAACTTACCACGCTAGCATCACATGACATTGAAAGACAAATGATATTTTGTAAGATTGTGCGACGGTCGGTTGGGACCGCCCAACCGACCGCAACCGTCGATTGTTCGGATCAGCCTCGTCGGCCTTTTGGCTTGGTCGTCGGGGGACTCCTTCCCCCCGAACCAATCAAAAAACCAGTGAGCTTTTTTTTTAAGACAAAATTACCCATGGGTCATTTCTGTCTAATTTCGCCCTTGTCCCGCGACCTAACTAATTCCCCCCTCGCGAGCCTCCAAAAAACCGAGCTTGTCGACCTAATTCCCCCCCCCACCCGAGTCTGGGTTCTGTCGACCTAATTTTCCTCCTCCGACCGAAATCGAGCCTCTAAAAAATCGATCGAAACTGATATTACATCATACGCGGTTCGGTCGGTTATATTGTAGAAATTTTTGATCGATTTATGGTAAAAATCGAACCGAAACTGATAAAACTGACTGTCGTACACTCTTAATATTTTAATTAAGTCAGTCATTAATTATAAAAATTTATTTAATTTAAAATAAAAATATAAAAATTTATTAAACTCAAAATAAAAGAATAATAATTTTGATTGAATGTAATAAAAATATAAAAAAAAATTCAAAATTTTTAAAATAATTTAAAAACTCTTTTAGATATTATACCAATATAAAATATAAATTGGTTTAGATTAAGTTTATTTATCAAGATCACTACGATAAAATCAATCATAATCATGAACTATGCAGGATTCATTAGAATATAATCACAAGTTTATAGTTATAAATGATGGGTCCGACATAATTTTATGATGGAATATTTCCATGATTATCAGTGAATGTTTGAACAATGAAAAGATGTCTTACACTAGCACGGTTTAACAATGGAAAGACACTTTAATCCTAATGTTACACCAGCCCAAACACAACTAAAGGCAAAGGAAACGATGTGGGTGCCATGTCCAAATCCAAATGCCGACATCCGTCAGAGTCACAAATGCTAGCCTAGACTGCAGCCCAGCCCATTAAGCAGTTCAGATCAATCTCTTGAATTTCCTCTTCTGTCTCTGTTTTTCTAGAATCTGTTCTTCCCCTGTATTTTTCGTTGAGGCAATCAGGGACCAGGTAAAGCAGTTGGGTTTTTTTCTTTGTTTAATTTACTTTTATATGTGTTGGATTTTTCTTTCTTTTCTTTTTCTTTGATGGGTTCTCTGATAAAGATTTTATTTGTCTTTATTATACGCAGAACTTGCTTGAATTTGTTTAATCCCAGTAGTTGGGAGACCTTTTGGGTAGAAGATGAGTAACCCATCAACAGGAACCTCTTCAAAATCGA